TGTTGGAATTACAGGGTTGCAACAGTGCTCTTTGGCACAGTTTTTACTACGTGATGACTTCTCGCTTCATCTTTGACCTGCTTCCAGGGATTGATAGCTTTGCGTAAAGAAGTGAATTTGCGGCTTTATTGTTCTGTAATGCAGAGTCATGCTTGCTCAGATATTTACAGTATAGTATCTGCAAGTAATAGCTCGGGAGAGGTTTGCGTTTAGTTCATTTTTTAATCACAGAAGAAAAAATGTTTTGTGACAAAGCATTGTAATAGCTAAACCAGAGAGGAGAAAGAGACAATTTTTGCTAAGACTTCCAGGCACTTACCGAAGAGGGCTATATTTACACTCAGATAATTGTTAATAGATGAAGAATCCCAGTGTAGCCTCTGGACCATAGTCTCTCCTGATAAGGATTTACAAAGTCCTTGAAAGGATATTTTTAATATTTAAGTACTTAGAAGGTTCTGTAGGCTGTTGCCCGGCAGGTACCTTTGAAATGCCACAAAAGGCTGCATAGGCTGGATCTGAAAGAGGGGACTGGATCAGGTGATGATTTTGTGAACAACTTTGCTGTTGTGGTGACTGGCATTTTTTCCGTAGCACCGGTCTACAGATGAATTATTTTTGAGACACATATTCTACTCAGTTTATAAGCATAAATATATGCCTGTTTGCTCCTGCGTAGCTAGTGGCATAGTTAGTCCTGCTTCAAAATGGAGATAAAAGAAAACAACCATTACAGCCATATCTGCAACTTCATTGTGACTAGCTGGAAGATGAACTGTTAGCCTAACTCCAAGTTTGCATTGAACTTAGTAGTAACTGGCAGGCTTCTAAGACAGTTTTGTCCTCAAGGTTAGATTTGGGCAAGGCCAGACTAGGAAGCATTCCCACACAAGACACAAATGTAGTTCTCAGAGCTGTTTAAGGAAAATTGGTGGTTTTACTGTGGCTGTGGTGTCTGATTTGAGTCACGCTTTCCTAAGAACTCTACTACTCTTCTACTTTTACGTGAAGATTTCCAGATTTAGTTCGGGTACCACCGCCATCTCTTCATCGTCCCATCAAACTCTCTGTCTTCTCAAATTTGACTGTCCTCTATTTTAATTCTGGCCTTCCTCTCCAGTTGCTAGCACGCTATGGGATCCCCTCCTTATCTCTTCCTTATTTTCTTCTCCTCTTATCCTTTTTGAGTTGTGAGCCTCCTTCCCCATTCTGATTTTGGGGACTGAGCGGTGACTGTCCGAAGATGCTTTGCTTGCAGCTGCACTACAGTTTTTACCACCTGCAATATGAGAACAGAGACTGGATCTTTGATTTGTGTGTCTACAGTTAGTAAACAAGCTTGAGATTCCCCAGATCATTGTTTCTTTCCTAGTTGTCTGATTTTATGGGAAAAAGTTAACAAAGATTAATGTAAACTGTTACCCTCTGAGAACTGGTGGACCAGACCAGAGGACAAGAGGGTTTGAAGAACACCAGAATTAATGTTATCTTGAACTTCAGTTCCAGTGAAAGCTTTAATGGTTCTTCTGTAAATATTCCATACATGGAATGTCATCACCTGAAATTTTTTGTGGGGACTTATTAGAAATTAATTATTTTCAAGAGTCCTTTTATTAGTCTCATCGACTGGCCTTTGTGTTTTTTAAATCCCAGCTGCCTCTTTGAAGAAGCAGTTATAGTGGTCTATTAAGCATGTTGTACCGAAAATGCACAAGTAAATATGTTATCTAAACCCACTAAGTTTAACAACAAAGTACTTTCACAGCACAGTGATTGCTCCTTTTAGAGCTGAGTAGGTGGCTTCCACATGCTTAGTCGGGCAGTGGTTTTAGCACGTCTTCAGCAAACATTACATCATTGTCCTTTACCCTTCAGAGTTCTTTAACATGTGTAAGCAACTTAGTTCTTACCAATTGTTATCGTTTCATATGTAAACATAAAAATAATGTCTCATTGCTAACCTAGAGACTGATTTGTGAATCCATTCGTCAAGCATATGGGATTTTTTTCCTCCCAGGCAACAGCAAAGCTCCCTAGCTTTGAAGCAAAGAGGATGATGTGATTTCAAGATAAGGTTTGAGGAGTCAGCATAAAGTGTGTCCTGTTCGCAGTGTTAGTGACCTAAAAAGAAATGGTTCAGTGAAATTAATCTTGTAGTTTGTAGAAGCTCTAATGAAATGCTTACTTGAAATGCTCTACTGAAAGATGCGTATACCACAAAAAGTATGGAAATTTGTAATAGAAGTGTGATGATTGATGTGAATGGGAACGTCTGGGTGTAGAACCGTGAGAAGGAACAGTAGAAGAAAGGACATAAATTTTGAAAGAAAATGGACGGAGCCTTAAGACACCCAGGTAAAGAGGCAAAAAACAGTGAGCAAATATTAATGACTCACAGAGGTGGGACAGGATGGGGAAACAAAGCATTTCTGAATCACTCTCAGCTCCCTTACAGTACAAAAGGCACATCCAGAATGAGCATGTGTTTGCCAACCTAAGAATTCAAGAGACTGTGTTAAAAGCTCACTAACTAATGTCCCTTGTCCCCTCACATTCCTGGCCAGACCACATGGGTATGTTGGACAGACCACTAGGACAGACAGATCTTAGTGCTTGTGAGTATGCGTGTGTAAGAGAGTGATTGAAATCTGTTTTGTTTTGAAATGAACTCATTTTTTCCTCCTGCAAGGTCTTTTATTGAACTTGCTGTGTTGTTACAGTGTCACAACAGTGTTTGCTATTGAAAAGTACAGATAAGCACTACTGATATCAAAGCAAGTGCAGCCATGGATGGAAGAATCAGGGGAGTGCCACTTGCTTGTGGTTTTTTGATTTTTTTTTTGTTTGTTTATTTTAACCTATTTGCAGGTCAAATTGCACTTGCTGCAGTTAAGTCCATAACCTTTGTTCTTGCGATTATATGTGGGCTGTGAGGAACTCGGGTTTTGGCTACTCACTTACTAATGCAGAATGCTTTGGCAATGTGCTTTTATGATGTGCAATGCTTTTACAGTGAGGTTAATGATACTGCCCTTCACTGTGTGAAACATACATGTCCTGATGTGCGTGATTTCTTTGGTACAAGTTTCTGCAGGCAGGAACCCTTGGACTATGCTGTGTTTGCTTCTGATCTTTACACGAGATTTGTGTAGTGTACACAACTTTTATTTTTATAAAATAAAGGAAGATTCTCAATTCATTGCAGAGAGCGGCTGAGTGCTAATGAGTTTCTGAATCAGGTGTCTTCTGCTTGGTGAATCTAAATAATGCCGAGCTTGACCTGTTCTCCTTAGTGCTTGCTTATGTACTTTTTAAAAGTTTTGTTTATTTTCTCAGGTCTCCGTTCCTAGTTAGTACTGCTGCCTTGAGGACTCTTTCCACCCTTCATATCTTTGTGGTCATTTGCACAGGGAAAATTAAAACTGAAGACAATAAAAGCCCTGGACAAAGTTTTCTGCTACGCTACACGCCTTGCATAGTGAGGCAAAATGCCAAAGCCTGCCACCATTTCTTAAGGTGCCTCTGCAATTTGCAGAGATCAGAGCATGTAGAGTCATAATCACAAAAGTCTTAGTTCTTTGGTGCAGGTTCTGGTGACAGTAAAGATGTGAGACCGCACATATGGATATGGATGTCATTTGAGAGCATGCAGGCATTTTACTATGTAAATGTCATGATAATTTCCTGTAACAGTAGTGGTATGCATATGGATCATTTACCTTGTTAACTGATGGATGGATTGAGCAATGAGTTTTTATTCATCATTTTTTAATTAAGTATTTCTTTTCCAGTGGCAGAATTCTAAGGGTTTTAGGACTAAACTGTTGAGAGGTGATCTGAAGAAATTCCTCCTCTGGGGGAAAAGTTTCAGTCTCTCAACTGCAATACTTTGTGGATTCTAGACCTCTGTGTTTTGCTATTTCATTTAGCATATTCCAGAACATTGCTATGTAATTTAATGGATATTGAGTTGGAATTGGCAGCTGTTAAAGTGATCCTAAATTTTAACAGGAGAAGGTTGATTCATGTAGAGTGAGCCCTGCATGAGATTTACTGAAGGCTTAAGTTTGTGCCCAAGGAGGTGCCTTAAGGGTAGTACCTCCTTCACCAGTAAAAGCAGGGTGGTTTTTTTGCCTTTCAAAACGTGTGTGACTTAAGGAGTCCAGCCTCTCATTGAGTCACAGTCACAGAAGATCATCAACTGGTGTTGTCAACAGAAGGAAGAGTTTTCCATCTGCGTGTTCTAAGTATAAACTTCTTTTTATTTTTGCTTGCATATATGCTTGTTTAGAGCAGTGAAAAAGGGACTGTGAGGCTAAAACAAATGCAAGTCTGCGAGCAAAATACTGGTGACAGTGTTTTCCTACTTTCAAGCATGATGCTTGGCAACTGGAGTTACTCGTTCTTGCAGCATAGAGGGGTCACTGAAAGACTTACAATTTAACAAAGAGGTCTTTCTCAGCTGTGTATTTCTGACTTGCACTTGAGTTTAAGCTTGTAAAAAGACTTAGGTTCAGTGCTCATCCCATGTAGTTGGGACAAAATTGTGAGTTTAATTGCCTTTTTTTCCTCCCCTCTGACTGAGGTGCTTAAACTAGCAGGTGATTCTCCCTCTTCCGTTTCTTTACAATTTAACACTAGCTTCAGTTGGGGCTCTCTCACATACTGCTCCAGGGATTACTGCCCAGCTGGCAGAGAGGTCTAGCAGGTTGCGAGAAGCTCTGGATTGCTTAGGCAGTGAGAGTACTTTTCAGATATTTGCTTGATCAGATGATATTTCCATAGGATTTCCTAGCAGGAAACCTTCATGTGTAACAGGGTGTAATCAGGGTGCTTGAGCTTTTCTGGTTCCTAAAGTCTAAACCGTCTCCTGCTAGCAGCTTAATGCCATGTAATAACTCTTTGTCAGGTACTCTTTGAATATGTTGTTTGTTGTGCAGGATGGTGACTGCCAAGGCTTGGGCTCTGAAGAAGCATTTTGAAGGTTTCCCCAAAACCAGTGACTTTGACCTGAAAACGATAGAGCTGCCCAAACTGAAGGATGGAGGTAAGGAGAGTAACATCCATTTTTTCTGGAGGTCGTATGTTTCTCAAGCTTGAATCTGCCTGAATTTTTGAAAGTGGCTTGGCATAGGTTATGGCAACCCATGTGCCTTGGCACAGCAGGGCAGTCGCTGAAGAACATGTGTACTGATGGGCTTGGTGGGTTTTGAGAATGCTGTCTTCTGGTAGTCACCCTGAAATTGATGGCTGAGCTCTTGCTAACGGTAGTGCAAGACGACTGTGGCACGCCTTTCAAATTCCCACCTTGCCTAATTGTATGCGGCGCATCATGGCAAAAGTTTCTAAACATGTTTGCAAATAAAGCTTGCTGGAAAAAATTGCTTAAGTGATACTCTCTGAAAACCAACTGCAATAAAGAACCAAAATTTGTTTAATTCAGAAAGAGAGAAATGAACTACGGCACACAGAAATGAGCTCGCTCGCTCTAGTAAAACCCAAACATGCTTTCTGTGGCATAAGCTTTTCTTTGCAAATTCTTTGGGAGGAAGCTGGAGAAGGTGGTAACCTCTGGGAGTACCTGGGTTGTCAGTGGAGTTTTTTAGGTTGACAGGGAAAGTACTGAGCATGGTGGCATGCTGAACCTGGGTGGCAGAGTGACTGGGAGGTGAATGAGCCTGTACCTGTTTAGCAAGGACAGGATGGTTAGGATGGTCCAGGGGTGCCTCACTGTCTGGGAGCCCTTAGGGTTGCAGCCAGTGGGGGCTGGTCTTTCATTTAAAGAAGTAAGGCAGTAAGGCCTCTCTTTGCGTTCAAAATCTATTTCTTTGCCAGTGCTTATCTGTGGTGTTCAACATGTTGTTACAGCATGTCAGAGAAAAGTAGAATAGATGAATTCCACAGGCTTTAGTCCTGTGCTTCTCTGTTTTGAAAGGGGTAAGGAACAGAATACCTTCTGTTACTCAGGAGTTAATGTTAATGAAAATGAAAATGTTAATGAAAGAATGAACTGTGATTTTTGGCTTCACATGGACATCCACCACACACTATGCTGTCTTGAACCGCACCCCCCACTTGCCCTTCGCAAGAGTTCCTCCAGTTTAGTAGGCACATCAAAGACATTATATTAAAATTTGGTTTACAAATTAAAGGCTTAAAAGATAATTTCTTCTTATATAACATATATACGTTTAGGCATCCTTTTAGCATCTATAGTTCTGTAGCATCCAGGAACAGTTAAAAAAACAAAAAAGGAGAGGGGAGAGGTTTCATGCCGGCAGGTATTTAAGAACATGGAGCCATTCATTCCTTCCCATTTTAATTCTTGCAGCAAGAAGGGCTGTGATTTCATACCAGAGTAACATTTTTAAAGATGACCTTCCTGGCTATGTTACATGCCTTGATGATTCTTCCTGCTCACTGAGCAATGGGAAAAGATTTATATCTAAATATGTTTCTAGCTTTTATTAGCTAGAACACTGCAGCACAAACAATAGAAAGTATTATTAAGTGTGGAATTGAATGCTAAAACTCCTTTGTGAATGGAAGTTAAAATTAAAATTTGTTTAACAATATATTTCACAAGAACTAGTAACATTAGAGGCAAAAAAGAAGATAAAAGCTAAGCTACCCAGAAAAAGGGTAGCTCCTAAGGGAAGGAAGTGATGCTTGTTGTTGTTGATCTATCCCATCATATTTGTAGTCTCTTGGCACTCTCTGGTGGTTGAATCCTGACAAGGCATTTTATATTAGGGTCACAAAAAACCCTGATCTTTTGCTTACGCGTCTAGCCTGTTGAACTTTCTACACAGAGGGGAGGTAAATTTAAAAAAAAAGGCACTGAAAAGAAGCTAGTCCTCTAATGAACTTTCTATGTTCCTTGGTAGCACAGTGTTTATCCAGACAAAGCCAAGTGATGTAGTAGTTGTTTCTCGTATTTATCCCTAAAGGTTGATGGGATAGGAGGGTTTGTGAGGGCTAGAAGAATTCCTGTAGCTTTTGTTAAAAGACTGAGTTGTGGGACCTATGCTTTACTGTACTGTTGATGCCTGTGAATTTGCTTTGTCTTTGGTTGCAGAGGTGCTGCTTGAATCAGTGTTTCTCAGTGTCGATCCTTACATGAGGTAAAACTTTCTTCTTTTTAAATTGCTAGGTAGGCTAACTCATTTGAGCTCCCGGTTAAACCACCCATGCAGTGGAAGCATCCCCCGCTGCCAGAATGCCAGGTCCCTTTGTTTGCTTTGTATCAGGTGTTGTATGTAAACTGTGATGCTTCCTGTATGGAGCTATGCCAGATTCAGCTGGACATTAGGACTTTGCTGCAGCCCCAGAGTTCCCTTGGACTCTGCAGTTCTCTGTGCTCTCTCTTCCTGTGGAATGCAATAACCTCAAAAGAGACTGCAGTCTTGTTGTAGTAGCTGCTGTACTTATCTTAGCAATCCTGCACTTACGGATTCACATTCTAAGTTGGAAATTGCTGATTGCCATTGTTAAGAGAGGGTGATTCAGGCACAGAGAAACTGTATAATTTATCCAGAGCTATGAAGAAGTCTGGCAGAACCTGGTCTCAGAAGTAATTCTTCGATGTCTTGCAAAGCCTTGTAACGGTGGGCCATGCCTGGAAAGTTAATGCAATCCTGTCCCTGGTACTCCATTCAAATATTCAGTCAAGATGGGACGCTTGAGTCACTGGCTAAAGAAAGCATCAATTTATGTCATTACAGAGACAGGCTTTCTTATTCTGTTAAGCATGACTGATTATGCACTGTTTCTGGGTCAGCCAGTAGCTACTACTCTGCAGTATCTGGAACATCGTTATAGTTGCTTACAATAAACCATTTTTCTGCTATGTTACAGACCGTACAGTCAGAGAGACATGAAGGAAGGGGACATAATGTTAGGTACACAGGTTGCCAGGTAAGGTCTTCACTAGTTTGTTGTCTTATGCTCTCACCTTGTTATCCACCACCTGGACTCCAAGTCATAAGAGAGCGTACTGACCTTTGAGAGATTTGCAATGTTTTATTACCTTTTCTTGACACGAATCTACATACTGTGGCAAATGTATTCTTTATCTACAATTGGTTGGTCAGTGTTTATTCTCTGTGAAACTCTTTTCCCTTCTTGGAGAACATTCCTACCTCTTAGGCCATCCATATATTATTTATGCAGGTGATACATTCAAAGGAAATTTTTACAAGGGGAGATATGAAAGGCCAACAGTTATTGTGAACTGTCAGCTTCACGTTTTGAAAACGTGATGGACGACAATTGCATACCTGAAACCTTATGGTGCTACCTATTCCAGCTGAGAATACCTCAGTGTCACCTAAGATTCAGCTCTATGCATAGCCAAAAGGGCTATCTGACCTTATATCCATATTCTTTCAAGCCTGTGGTAGTTTAGCTGCACCGATTTTTCTCCTGGTCAGCTTACTACCTCTCTTACAGCTAAGTTTATGCCCAAGAACATCTGTGGTCTTTGATTCTTGTGTTTTTCTGCAGAAACAGAGGGTGGGGATAAATTAAGAGCCTGATCTGCTGAACAGAAGGCCAGCTGTTTTCAATGTTTCAAGGCTATTTGCCTACCCTTTCCCAAAGTACTTTTCTCATTAGGATAAGGAAGTTGAATTTATGTTTGGTGTAGAAACAGAGCGCATATGAACTTCTCTCTGCTATTAGGTGCTGTTTTCTAACTGGTCTTAAGAAGAGTTTTATTGCCCCAAAGTGTTCCATCTTCAGGGTCTTCAACCTTTGGATGAAGTCTAGGTTTGCCGAAGAGGGAACTGTTCGTTCTAGCCTGCCTGAGATTCAGCTTCTTACTTTTCCACCCTTTAAAGCTAACATCCTATTTCCTTCTTTCCAGCCTGTAGAAGCCTCGTCTAAATTCATAGCAGATTGGTGCTAGTCAAAATCATTGGCATCTATATAGGAACGAAGGATCTGTCATGGGTAGGGTTGAGTCTAGGAGTTCATCTTGCTCAGTAATCCTCCCGTGATAAGAGATGGTAGTCGTTTCAGAAAAGGCTTTGGAAGCCCTCAGCATCATCAGGTTCATGCCCTCATGTGAAGTGTTTCTTTCCTCCTACATCACAGAGCAACAAGAATAAAGCAGGGAAGGCCTGTTAGTATTTCTCTTCAGGAGCCAGTAGGGTTCTGTCTCAGAGAGGGTATTCCTTTTGATTTTTTTCTCCTCTTTTCAACAGGATTATAGAAAGCAAGAATCCTGCTTTTGTGGTGGGAGCCTTTGTTGTGGCTAATGGTGGCTGGGGGACTCATTTCTTCTCCCAAGGGAAATTTTCTCCTCTTTTCAACAGGATTATAGAAAGCAAGAATCCTGCTTTTGTGGTGGGAGCCTTTGTTGTGGCTAATGGTGGCTGGAGAACTCATTTCATCTCCAATGGGAAAGATCTACGTTGTCTTCCTTCTAGCTGGCCAGAATCACTCCCCAAATCTCTAGCTCTTGGGACAGTGGGCATGCCTGGGTGAGTATTGAGCTCCAAAGGAGCCTGTCTTTTGAATTTTTCACCGTGCAGGAAGTTTCTGCATGTCTGTATGGCCTTTTCCCCTCATCTTGTTATACCAGTGTGATGTCTGCTCACTGTAGTAAAACCCATGTGTACTTAAGGATGCTCTAATGCTGTAGAGGAAACTGAGGTTTGGCCCACCCTGTAGGTCAGAGGAAAGAAATTTTGAATGTTCCTTTCTTTTTCTCACTTGTGGAGGTATGGAAGAGAGGCAAGGAAAGGCCTCCAGCAAGGACCGAAAAGAACCCACTTGAATCTGGATTAACCTTAACAGAAAGATGCAGATTTCGCTGGCATTTGAACTAGGCTGCTTTTCCTTATCAGCCTCTTCCTTTGTCACTGTGTTACCAGAGCGACCCAAAACTGGCAAGAGGCAGCTGTCACAGTTTGCAGCAAAACAGCGATCCTTAAATTCCACTGCAGCAGTCAAACCAAGCTCCTGTTCTTGAGAATCAATAAAAGCATTATTGCATTCTCTTGGTTACCTTGTCATACTCTTTGCCTCCTTCTTTGTAGCTTGTACATGAAATATTGCTTCAGTGAATCCTTTGGACGCAGGAGGGTTTCAAAATAATTGTTATATTTTATGTGATGCAGAAATTACACTTCTTTCTGAAATCAGGCTAGACAGATTTTTCCATACAGCTTCTAGACAAATTCACCAATTGGGAAGCCTCAGGGCTGAAATGAGAAGTCTGGGAGAAGTTCGAACTGGTCAGCTGTTGGGATTCTGGGTTGATTGCTCAGGTTTCTTCAAGAAACTTGCAGAGTCTAATGTCATTTAGTGTTTATATGATCAGTAGAGCGTGCTTAAGGTAAACTAGAGTGGTTCTTAGAGACTGCTATTTACTCAGTAGCCATACCTGTACGCAGTAGTCCTCAGGAGCTGTAGCCCAGTTTTTCAGCAGGGTTTGCACCAGTTTTCTTTTTCTGCTAGCCTGGATTTATGATGACCGTCTTAATATCTGCCTTGATCTGATAGGAATTAGCTGGCAACTGATGTATGTCCAGCCTGGATTTGTTCTGTTTTCCAGCTCGTAACTAGATTGTCAAATTCTAAAGTGGATCTCTGCATTCCTCCTTTTGGTTACTGAGCACAAGGAATGCTGTCTTCAGCTGAGGTAGACTTCTCCTGTTTCCCGGTAGTGTATCTTGTGAACCTCCTGGAGCCTTTTAGCATAAGTGGATGTCCTCGCAAGCCAGCTTGAGAAGCTGTATGGACTGATTTTTGTTCAAATTAACTAGTATTCCATAAGGAGTGGGGAAAAACGAATCTTGTTCTGGTCATGATGATATTTGTTTAGTGTGGTTGAGTCATGTCTGTGTGTCTGGCATCTTTTACTCCTCACGGAACGTTCTTTCTTTTTCTTCCCAGCCTCACTGCGTATTTTGGTCTGTTGGAGGTCTGCAAGATGAAGCCAGGAGAGACACTGCTGGTTAATGCTGCAGCTGGGGCTGTGGGCTCTGTGGTGGGGCAACTCGCTAAAATTGGAGTGAGTGGCTTGAACTACTCATACTTGTGCCACAGAGGGCTGATCTAGAAGGCAGGGGAATAAGGCCATGAATTATCAGGAGACTGAGGAGAGGGCAAGAAGCTCCGAAGGTGTATCTGCAGTACGATCTCGAGGGGGGAAAAGCTGCTGAAGATGTAGCAGAGCTAATTTTAAATTTCCTGGAGCTCAGGAACTGACATAGTAATGACCGCCTGGCTTTCAGGGTGAGCCCAATGCTCCATGTAGGTGTCAGCCTGTGTTACCAGGGATTTAGAAATATTTTTCTTTCTTTCCTTGCAGGGTTGCAAAGTGGTTGGCTGTGCTGGCTCAGATGAAAAGGTTGCTTATTTGAAAAAAATCGGCTTTGATGAAGCCTTTAATTACAAGACCGTTACATCTTTGGAAGAAGCGCTGCATAAAGCCTCTCCTAATGGCTACGACTGTTTCTTTGATAATGTGAGTTCAGATGGAGGGACTGGCTAAGAGCAGACCATTGTCTTTCCTTAGACTGTAGCAGGAACTCAGTGCAGTGTAAACCCCATTGAGAAATGGCCCCCTTAAGGGAACAGAGACCACTACACTCTTCCCAAACCCAACTTGGGAAGTAATAGAAAGAACAAACATTCAAAGAGAAGCCTGGGTTGTTAGTGGTGTTTATGAAGGGAGAGAGCGTACTCTCAAAAGTATATCTGATATTTGGGAGGTGAGGGGAGCAGAAGACATTTAACTGAGGCTTAGCAGAGAGAGCTGCAGCTCATCCCTGGCCCTACCTCAGACCACAGACAATTCTCTGCTGTTTCTGGAAGTGGAGAGAGAGTGGAGTGGAGTGGAGTGCACTGCCCAGTCCAGGTGACTACATACATATAGGTTTAAAAAAGAATTGCAAGACCTACTTGTAAAACTGCTAGAGCGGTCTACAGAGCATTTCTAACCTCTCCCAGGCACAGTTAGAGTTAACAGGGGCTATGGACTGTTCTCGATAGGCTGTTTGAAAGTGACCATACTGTTTCAGAGGCCAAGAGAGTTTCCTGGCGTGGAGGCAGTCAAACCGTGTCAGTTGGTGCTGGAGCCAGAGAGCAAGCCCTGGCTTTTTAGAATTTCCCAGCACCGGTGCAGCTCATGGATTTATAGCAAAGCTGACACAGGGGTATTAGCTGAGGTGCTGGCCTAAATGCAAACAGAGCAAGCCACTGAGAGTTACCATGTGGTTTAAGGGGCAGCCATCATTACTCCTTTAGCATGTCTTTCTCTCAGCAGTTTGCCCACTGACCAAGAGATGATAGTGCTGTATGTTTGTGTGAATTGGCATGTGTCCCACCTTTCCCTGGGAATCCTTGTGAATGCGCAATGTCAGGGCAAAGTGCTTATGCCTGTGGCCAGAGTTCTTGGTTGCTTTGCTTTCCTCTCTCAAATTTAATGTGTCACGTGCTGTTAAGGACTAAAGCAGCTTTTATGGTCATGTCTGTTCCCTTCCCTCTCACTTCATACCTTTGTGCAGAAGTCTCCCCCGCGGTAATTTTTTTCACAACCTTTCTCAAGTAAAAGCTGTACCTTTTTGAGTACAGCATATCTCTTCAGGCTCCATCTTCACTGGGAAGAAGAAAATAAGTTAAAGCTGGTCATCCATTTTTGCAAACAGGTAAATTGGAGTCCAGTGTGGGGGAAAAGTAGAGGTGGGCCAGGAGGTGCTCTTTAAAGAAAGTGATCTGTAAGGGTAAATCGTGCCCAGCACTTCCACAGTAAGCTTTGTGGAAGGAGAGATTCAGAGTTAAAACTGGTTCATTGTGTTCATAGCTATTTCTTCAAAAGACACTGACATAGAGTCCTCATAGGCCTTGACAAAGCGTAAGGGATTCTGCAGCCACAAAAACTGTGGAATAGTGAAACCTAGCAGTCTTCCCTTTAATTGAACCTGTTCTCCTTGGTGCAAGAACTTCAGGCCGGCAAGCTGTTGCAGTCAATGCCAAAAACGATTTTATCTAACGCTGCATCTGTTCTGGTTTCTTGTAGGTGGGAGGAGAATTTGCCAGTGTTGCCATTCACCAGATGAGGAAATATGGAAGGATTGCAGTCTGTGGAGCTATCTCTCTGTACAATGACTCAGTGCCTCAGAAAGGTATGGACCTACTTTCTTGTATGTAAGGTTAGTTACTTTGTGGTGATGGTAGAGAGACGTGATGGAAGACTCTTTGAGTTTTTTAGCGGTTATTTCAGTGTGCCATTTGAGCGTATGTGTGTGTACATTTAGACGGCTGACCATAGTTCTTCCACAGCTGGTGTGAGGACACACTCCCTATGAATGCATACCTTCACTCTCCTTTGCACACAGTCGTAACAGGTTGTGAGAATCAGCTAATTAGAAATGAAGGAGAGACTAAACTACTTAATGTATGTTTCCCTGGGGATCCAAGCAGATATAGATGAGTAAAAGAAGGCAGGTGTGGTAGAATGATGCCATTTGCACAGTATGTACTTTTAGATGAGAGAATGCAGGTTTTTTAGATTAGGCAGCTTAGTTTCAATTTGTTGTTCCATTTCACGAGAGCCAAGAATTCAGCCACAGGTGAAACTGGTGGGAAATGGCTGAGATGTGTATTCATTTTCAGTAGCAGGAAGTTTTCCAAATTTGTCTTCTAGAAAAAACTGAAGGATATAGAAATGGAATTCTCTCTAACAGCTGACTGGCTTCAGGCTGCCAAATCACTTTAAAATTGGGATAGGCTTTTGGAGGTGGGGAGACTATTATACCTAGGGAACTGGTTTTTTTTATATACCTAATTTTTCTGAGATTTAGAAAGAGTATGAGAATTTGGCAGCTTTCAAAGAGTAGTGTGAGATTTTGAGCTTTAAACAGGCTGTCAAACAAGCTGGCAAAACAATACTCTCTGAGGACAGAGCTGAAACACCCCAGCGAAAACTGAGGCCACTTGACTCTTGAATTATACTGTTTCAGAGGTGTCGGGCCTTTAAGCTCAGCTTTAGGGATCAGGTCTATGGTTTTTCTGGGTAACTCTGTCCATGAATTCTTGGTCTTCAGTCCTGGATATTGTGTCTGGAAAGGACAGATGCTGCTTCTGGCTGGAACAAAGTGATTCACTTTTCTCTGCTGGCTAAAAGCTTCTCTGTAGGCATTGGGTCCAATTTTAAATAGATCTGTTACTAAAGGTGGTTTGCTGGTTTCTTTCTCTTGCAGGGCTTTATGTTCAGTTTCCAATGATCTTGAAAGAGCTTCAAATGGAAGGTTTTATTGTTCACCGCTGGAGTAACCGCTGGGAGGAAGGTCAGAAGGCACTGCTGAAATGGGTCCTGCAGGTAAGAAAGAAAGGGGTGGTTTTGCTGTAATACAGAGCGTGTACTTGTACCATAGCTTCCTTTTTTGCAAGAGGTCTCTCATCATAGCCGATGAGGTGAGGTTCCAGTGAGGTGAAATACTTTTCTTCCACCTGACTTGCTCTTTGATCTACTGTAGTGAACATGCTGTATCCCTTCAGCTTTGTTAAGTCCTGCAATACTAGCTAATGGTCATCACTCAGACATACCACAGAATATGTGGTATGTCTACCGCATATTATCCTTGGAAAAGGGTCTTTCCAGTTTAGTTCAAAACACTTTCCTAAAAGTTTTAACTGGAATAATTCCTCTATTTCTCCTTCGTACTTCTTTTGTTTGTAATATGAGCAAGGATTTCCATTGTACTGCTATGCTGGAGTTACTGGCAAGAATTGGTGCTTTCATGGAGTTGGGAGCCAAGCTTTGCAGGGGTTTACCAGATAATTTTTCTGATTTTATTTTTTTAAACGAAGGCTGAGTTTAGCACTTGATTTTTAGCTGTGAAAAGCTTATGAGTGTGAACACTAAAGGCTTGAAAGGCTTTAGGCTTTACAAACTGAGGTTTTCGGGAGGCTCAGCTCAGCTTCTGGTCACGTGGATTTGCAGTTCTGTGCTTAATTATAGATAGAGATAAACCTGGCTTTGAGGAAATAATCTCCTACCTATTCGTTGTTTGGGGACTGAGTAGCACTAGATCTGTCACGGTGTGTTTCTATAGCAGTGACTTTTGCTCTGTTATGACTCCAGTGGAGGATCTTGATGCAAAAGCAGATCCTCTCGTGTAACAGCCGTTTGCAAATCTAGTTTTGCAAAGTTACCCTGGTGTGCACCAGCTAACATTTGTTTCAGCCAGAGCATACAAGCTGGAGAGAATCTGGTAGCAATTTAGTTTTCCAAAGACAATAAAAAGTAGGCAGCTGATGAAATGAAGACTCAGCCATTTGTTTTTTTCCTTTTCACAGGGAAAAATTAAGTACCATGAACAAATCACTGAAGGATTTGAGAACATGCCGGCAGCTTTCATTGGAATGCTAAAGGGAGAAAATCTTGGAAAAGCCATTGTAAAGGTCTGAAAGTCACATATCCTGTTCCTGAGAGATTGGCACAGGAGGATATGATTCTACTCAATTAAGTACTTTTGCCTCACTATTCAAAAGGGATGTTTGGTGATGATAACTTTTTTAAAATAATTTTTCTAATAAGTATAGGTATATGCAAATGGTTTAGCTTTTGAGGAGCTTGAGAATTGTTCTCCAAAGCTATACACAAAGCCTTGAAACTATTGAACCTCTTGCTGTGCATTAGAAAACCATAATCAGAACTGTAAAAGTTTAAGTAGTAGCTTGAGCCAAATTCAAGTTGACTTGTAGAAAGGAAAATGCAGTTCCAAAGGCTTTGCCTGTTGATGGCACATCTGATGACCAATTTCTATGATTTACCTGGAACTCGGCAAGGGGGGATTTAATTTTGTAAGAGCTAGCAAGGAGCAAGAAATAGGCTAACAGCAGCCAGGGGCTCCCAGCTTGCTCATATGGCTTTTTTGTTGTTGTTGTTCTATTTTGTTTTGTTTTGCTTTCATCAGGAAAAATAGATATCTCAACTATTCTGAGATTATGGAAATAAAAAATAAATCTATTAATTGACACTTCACTTGTGTTACAGTCCTCCTCTTTGCCTCCTTGCAATTAACACCAAGTGGCTAATATGTTGCAAGCACTTATCCTAGCAGACCCTGCAGGAAAAGTGGTATGGGTAGATCACTGATATTGAGTAATTTGGGGATTAGTGTCCAAGCTTAGGTCTGACCTTGCCATGGTGCTCCGCCTGCTGTCCTGTAAGATGATGCAAATGTGCTGGGCCTAGCTGTAACAACTTGGTTCCCATGACCCATGTGGTGCTGAGTGGAGGAGACATACGGATGAGGAACAGTAAACATCTTAGATGTATTGAAAAAGCCAGAACTACAGGATAGTGTTATAACTACAGGATACAGAAAAGTATTGAAGGTCATGATGGTCCCATCTTCAGGTAAACAGTGAAGACTGCTGTTGAAAACATTTCAGTTAATTTTTAGGTCTCATTATTGATCTCTGAAAAGGGATCGTGAGTGGCCTTTGCATCTTTGTAGTGGCACGATTAGATGATCTGTTTGTCAACAGGAGGAGATCATTTAAGATGTAGATGAACAGATACTTGATACTTGTGAACAAAACACATATTCTGAAATACAGTTTGACGGGCCACTGGGGAAGTTATGCTTCTTGCAGCAAGTAAGAGAGTTTCTGGTTGCTTTAGAGGACTCTGCGAGGAAAAAGAATGGCCAATTTGAATTAGCTCTAATGCTGTGGTTTTCAACTGGCCTCTGAGAAAATCTGTGGATTAATACTGCATGATGTGGAAAAGGTTAAACTAGAAAAGGGAGTTTATTGTCAGTGCGTGTCAGATCCATTGTGCAGGAGCCTGCTGCTGCTGGAAGCTTTTTTTATGGAGAAGTTTTTAGAGAGCTTGCAATCCTAAAAAGTTGAATATTGTAATTCTAGTGCATTGATAAACTCTTATTTTAAGAAAGCTGTGATTTGAGAATGAGCTAAAAATAGCAGTGTGTGGTCCACGTCCCTTTGGTCAGAGCTGCAACAAGATTTTGCAGGTGAAAGACTTCTGGCTTCTGCTTGCCCTGTTACAAAAGACTAAGCTGTACGTTCCCCCACTATCTGTGTACAGATTCCATGCTTCATGTCACAGGATGAATTTGCAAGGCCGATTTTTCGACGAAAAGGTGATTTTTCTCTTGTATAGCAGAGGAAAAAAATAAAACCCCAAACCTCCTCTCCTCTGAACTGCTATGGTGAACACAGCTATTTCCTTCTGAAAATTCAAACTTTTTGTTAGGCATGGGGAACACTGTGAGCATGTGAATAATGATGAGACTCTGACATACTGTGTTTTAGTAAAGCCTTATTTTTAAGGCGCTAGTGAGACAGAAAAGTATCCTAAACCAATTGATTTCTTTTACAGAGATAAAGCAACATAGCTTTGAAATTGCCTTTCTAAACACTAGCAGACTGTTCCTTGCTTACTCAGTTTCCGTTGTTATCCTCCGCAGCTTTCTTCTAAGTCTGAGGGAGGTGGAGTTGATGACTCTCACGGGAATGAGAGTGTTGGTGACACAAGAGTCAATCAGGTTACTAAGTTCACAAAAGTTTTACATATTTTTTCCCTCCAGTGAAGCAAACAAATCAACCCTGTGAGTGGAATTAGTGTAACAAACTTGTAGAACGTGCCAAAGTCCACTAGAGAGAAAAGGTGCAGCTGTGTATGGCTGAGGTAGGCCCTCTCTGCCATAAAGGACTGTGTGTGTTATTAGGCAGAACACCGGTAGTACCATTACTGCCTGGTCTGTCCTCCAGCCAGTTACACAAGGATTGTGAGTGGGCAAGTGCTGGCTGCAGTAACCCCTCCTCGAAGATAAGCACTCTGTGGGTGATCGTAGAGGCCTGATGGGAAAGGGAGAACTTGTGGGGGTCACACTGGCTGTCAGAGGTAAATACCAGGGATTGCTTGGTGCTAGGTCCTCCTTTGCACCGAGGCAGTTCTCCGCTGAATGTCTCTGCAGAGGTGAAAAGGGTGTCAGCTCTGCTGGAGGTGCAGTGGCCTGCAGTGGCCATTCCTGGATGGCACTGCAGCTATGGCTTTGTTGATAACCATCTGTGGTCTTTTTGTGCTGCGTTTCTCCACCCACTTTTTTTTCCTTTTCTGCAAATCTCTCAAAGCTATGATAACTGCAGGAGAAACTATACTCCTCCCCACTGTTTTGAGTGCCTTCATAATACTGCAAGGATAACCGCTAGCATTTACTGGTATTCATTACTGTGACTCTGTGCCATTGCTGGCATTACAACAGCGGCGAGAACTGGCTGGTCTGGCAAGCTCAGGAATGGAGAACAATGAAGACCTATCAGCATACAATTACTATTCCTGGGGTTTCCAAAGGCTCTCTTCAGTGCCTAGGGAAGTCCACACTGCTATGCCTGTGCCGCTAACTTAGTCTTATCGAGTAGGCTTGACAGTGGGGCTTCTAAGTCCATTAGGATCCTAAATCATTGAGGGTATAACATATGAGAGGGAGAGAAGAAGATTATTATTTAATCTTAAATGTGAGCAAATCTGTTGGCTTTACTTTCTCTTGGCTAGACAGCCATTTATTGATACATATAATAATTTCTAGCATAATGATGTTTTAATATATACTATTGGTTTAACTACTTAACCCTTTTATGTGTCTATGCAAAATGAAAGACTCTAGATTAGAGGCGTTCCAGTTTAATAACTACTTGCAGCTTTTGTGCCCAGTTCCTAAGCAAATGCAAGGTTAATTTCTGTTCCCTGCCTGATAGCAAGTTACAGTACCCTACTGAAACAGCTGAACTCAAATCATCTTCCCTGCCATTGTTGTGCTGAGCAGTGGTTCTCCAAAAGCCAGGCTTGGTCCTCCTGCCTTCTGGTGCTCCTAGGAGCATTAATGTAGCAAATACTTTTTTTTTTGTGCTCACCTTTGACCTGTTGTGTAACAAGATAGGCTACTTAAACAAAATTACTCCCCCGGCTAAAAGAAGAGCTGTCTTCTAAAGTTTTAGCAGAAGAAAGGTGCTGCCTGCTATCCTTTGCTCATAGCAAAATATGTAGCTTCTCTAGAAGAGAATGAGATTTGGATGACTCTTGAGTTTTGTTTTTTCAGTTTGTGGACTGACACCTTTGTACGATTCAGAAGATCGTTATGGCCTACCAACTACTCCAGGAGCTACCGAGCTTGTCTGGGACACGTTGGAGCTTGATCAGGAGCACATGAGTGCTATTTGGTGGCACTTGGAAGGACTGGGCTATGCAAAACCGCCTCAGCTACTGTCCGTGGACATGTGGCTGGTGAAAGATAGGTACCCTCCCTTCCAGGATGTGTGGTTGGGTTTGGTTTCTTTTCCTTTCCCTGGAGTGGGGAAGAAGGGAAAGTAAAGCAGATGGGCACAGAAAAGAAAAAGAGAAAGAAACTCAGGGAAACAGAATGAACTTCTCAGAAGGGTCCCTGCTGAAGTCATAGTGTCCGTGGTTACAGGACCGCATAAGGAGGGCAGAGTATGGCCTGCAGAGATGCTGTACGCACAGTCTCTAAAAAAAAGAGGCGCAGCTGCATGAGAGCAGAGCTGGTTATTGTAGGATGACCAGCTGCCCGGTTCCCACCTAATCCATGTGAGCCCTGCTGCATGAGTTATTTGTTGTCCGTTTGTAATGGAAGAGTAGCAGCAAGCCAAAGCAGGTTTGAGACAAAATATTTAGCTACAAAATTTGGATGGGCCAAGTTGTAGTCTTCAGTGAATATTACCTTCAATTTCCTTCTCGGGGCCCAGGGGAATTACTACTTTGACAGCAGCTTAGGTCTGTTGGATCTGGAAACACATGTGAGGAGCAAAAAGGGTCAGGCTGTTAGCCAGCACGGTGTACAGAGGACTGGTCTCACAGGCAGGCGGTTGGTTGCTTAGGCCTGCTCGCTGCTTATGGGCAAGGGCAGCAACTCTT